CAAAATGCATCAGATAACATTCCAGAAGTAAGCACTTATATAAACATTTAAAAGGACAACATATATAAACATTCAAGAAGAAGAATAGTTTACTTTCGCAACACGAAACTTACTTTCGCAACGCGAAAATGACTATCGCAACGCGGAAATGACTATCGCAACGCAGAAATGGCTATCGCAATGCGAAATGAAAATCGCAACGACAAAATCGCAACGCGAAACACAAATCGCATTGCGATTTTCATTTCGCGTTGCGATTTTGTCGTTGCGATTTTCATTTCGCATTGCGCTAGCCATTTCCGCGTTGCGATAGTCATTTTCATGTTGCGAAAGTAAACTATTCTTCTTCTGCAAATTGAAACTTGAATGGATTACATTACTTCAACCAAAAGACAAAAACAAAACCAAAATCAAATACTAACAAAAACAGTTTAGCAGTATTGGCAGCAACCGAATGAATTTATTAAGCAATCTAAGTGAAATGGTTAATCTAAGTGAAATTACGAGTAAATTTATCTTCAAGTTAAATATGAAAAATCTTAAACTTACCTCGTTGCGTAGAGTATGAACCTCATTCTGCAACGATGCTACCATCTCACGTAGAGCGGCTACCTCACCGTGTAAAGTAGACACCTCAACACGCCATACACCATCATCTTTGCGTAAAGTACCGACCTCCTCACGCAAGGCATTGACCTCATCACGTAACTCTCCTAACTCATCCCGTGGAGGTAGAGAACATGGAGATAAACGTCGTGGCATCTTTGCCGGTCGCCTATCTTGCGGTGATGGTGGAGAAGAGGCTCGATGATGTGATAGAATAGGTGATGGCTGTCGTTGTGGAGGTGTATAGTCGGGTCGATCAGGTGATGGCTCTGGGTGAGGTGATAGCTCTGGGTGAGATGATGGCTCCCGAAGTGGAGGCTGCTCATCATCCGTGCCATCAAAAAAACGCTTACTAGCTTGCCACCAATCAGTGGCAAGCTCAGCTTCCGTGGGTGTCAGCCTCTGTAATGGAGTGTTGGCCTCCTAACAATATAAAAGCTCAAACAAAGTTAAACGTGTACTAGTAATAACTTGTTTATAAACATATGGTAGTATTTATGTTAACTTACATTATTTATTGTCGTATACCATAGTAAATCTTCCTATTGCAAGGTCCGTTTCCTCTTCCAGGAAATAGCCCTGAGAATATCATTTGAAGTTTTTATTGCATATGTCTTCATGGCGGGAAAGGCCTCAAATATCCAAATCTACAAACAATATAATAACAAACATTAGTAATTGTTAAATAATTACTTTTAATTTTGGAAACATTATATAAAAATTCTTACCTTAAAGGCCCAAATAAAGCCTGTCAAAGTGTATTTGGAACCATCGCCATGCAAACCTTTTCGATCATCCAAGGCAGACGATAACTTATTCCATGTAGCTTTCCATAAATACGAGCCCCATGGAAACAGGTTCCACGCATTTAGGTCTTCTACCAATTTGATTAGATCATTCGGAATAGATTGTCTGGCCTCTCTGCCTAAAAAGCCGGTATGCAAAAGTATTAGAAGGCATACTCGGACAACATCGACGTCATCCATCCGAGTAAAACCATCTTTCTTATTCAATAATATCGTCAGGTCTTCCACGTGTAGATTCGGCCTCTCCAGCTCAGGAAAAACCCGGGATAACCATGATTGGCGGGTAATGTGTCTAGTGTACCGACTTACATCATCGTGTCCGAAGCGTAGACCGGTGATTAAGCAAAACTCCTCCCGCCCAAAACACGTATACGCAGGTGGAAAATTAAACCATATCTCTTCATCACGACGTTGTATAGTATCTGGTAGATCCCTAGTCATGGTTTGAAGAAACAGGTGTGTCAACATCACATCTCCACCGGGATGTTGTACTTTCAGCCATGGCCCGAAGCAAGTATCCTCAAACATTTTTCTTTGTGCAGGTGAAAGCTTCGACGCAATTGTTTTGGCCAGGCTGACTTTATTTCTTAAGGTCAATTAAGCCGAATAAAAGTTCTACAAAAACAATAAACATACTAAGTTAGATATACCAAAAATTACACTGTGAAGATATACCAAAAACAATAATAAACATAAAGAGTAGTAGTTTATTCTTCAAACTTAAATTTGCAACACTGTGAATTTCTTATTTGTCTTTGTTTTTTGGTTGAAGTAATGCAATTCATTCAAGTTTCAATTTGCAGAAGAAGAATAGTTTCTGAAAATAAAAATCGCAACACGAAAATGACAATCGCAACGCGAATTTGACTATCGCAACGAGAGAATAAAATCTCGTTGCGATTTTGTCGTTGCGATTTTCATTTCGCGTTGCGATTCTCGGTTGATTTAATAAGCAATCTAAGTGAAATGGTTAATCTATTATTGAAATTACCAGTAAACTTATCATCAATTTCAATATGAAAAACCTAATAATAATGCAAAAATTTCAAAAAGAAAATAATTAAAAAAACTAACCCTCGGTGGTTGATTTGGTTGATTTTCCATTTCTGATTGTGAGGGTGGCTCTGTGAGATGGAGATAGACGAATTTTGCCGGAGATGGGGACGGATTTCGTCGGAGATGGGTGAGAGAGTGAGAGATGGAGATGGGACTGAGTTGTGATTTTAGGTTTTAGGTTATGAGTTGCGATTATGGGATATATTGTGGACGGTTCAGTGTTCTAATATATTAATATTCGTGTTTGGAATTTGAAAATAAATTACGCTTTGCGATACTAATGGCGCTTTGTAAATCGCATTGCGATTATGTATTATCTCGTTGCGAAAGTCAGTATTGAGTTGCGAAATTAAGTATCGAGTTGCGAAAGTCAGTATCGCGTTGCGATAGTCAGTACCGCGTTGCGATTTTCCAAATTCATTGCGATTTTCCAAATTCGCATTGCGCGCATTGCGATTTTCCAAATTCGCATTACGAATTGGGAAAATCGCAACGCGAAATTGGAAAATCGCATTGCGATAGTCATAATCGCGTTGCGAATCTGGAAACTGATTTGCGATAATGGAGGTCGCGTTGCGAATTAGAGATCGCATTGCGATTTTGTTGGTCATTTTGGCAAATTCGGAAAAAGTTGGTTAAAATCGTATATTATATGGGATTTTTGGTCACTGAGGTTATTTTCTCTATTATTTATTAGTTTACTAAGTTAATTAATTTGTAAATTAAAACTATTTTTAATTAAAAATCCATCCATTCATCCAACTTCTTTATTATTATTTATTTTTGGGTAAACTATACCAGTGACTATCCAATTATAGTCCCTTTTCACTCTGACCACCATTTTTTAATTATTATCATTCAGGTCACCCAACTATTTAAATGCATTCAATGAGGTCACTGGTCGTTCACAGTTAACGGAAGTGCTGACATGACTGTTAATAAAATTAGTATAATTATACATTTGATAACTGCTATTTATATATTCTATCAATTTAGTCATAATTTTAATAAATTAAAATAAATTTAATATTTGAATCATATTATGACACATGTTAGTAGTGCAAAATATCATGACACATGTCGCCATCCGATTGGAGGATTTAATTTATTTTTAATTTATTTTAATTTAATATATTTATTTTTCACCAATCAAAGGATGACACGTGTCACTCTCAGGTGGAATGAAAATTAAAGGCACTAAAGAAGAGGCCATGAGATTTGAACTTATATTGTATGGGTGACAAAGGAGAGCATCAATCACCGGGACAAGGCAAATTATTTGTCTTAAAATGGATTACATGTGGTATATAACTTGTATCTTAGTGTAATTTTATATTCAAAATATTATATATATCTTAACTTAAATTCACATCTTAATAAAATTGAATATATATTTTATTTTTATCTTAATTAAATTATATATATATATATATTAGTCTTTTCTAAACTTAAAAAATATTTTTACCTTAACTTAAATATTTAAATTTTATTTTTATAATATTTTAAAATTAAAATAAAAAAATATTTTTTTATAGTTAAGATAAAAATAAAATATATTTCTAAATTAAAATAAGAATAAAACATATTAATATATATATTAAAATAAAAATAAAAAATGCATTTTCAAGTTAAGATAAGAATAAATAATATTTAATAATTTAAGGTAATAATATAATATATTTAATAATTTAAATTAAGAATATAAATATGTAACAAGTTAAGATAAAATAAAATATATTTTTAAGTTAAGGTAGGAATAAAATATATTTTATAAGTTAAGATAAGATTAAAATATATATTTTTAGTTAAGATAAGAATAAAATAAATTAAATAAGTTAAAAAATAAAATATATTTTTTAATGTTAAGTTAAGATATATTTAATATTAAGAATTTAAGATTATACTAAGAAGCAATATATATAATATGTACTCTATTATAATCCATAAAATGTGCTTATCTCGGTGGTTGATGTTCTCCTTTGTCACCCAAGGGACAATTTGATAGAATATACAAGTAACAATGACTAAATGTGTAATTATATAAATTTTATTAACTACCACGTCAACATTTCCGTTAACGGTTAACGGCCAGTGGCCTGATTGAAGCATTTAAATAGTTAGGTGACCTGATTGAAAATAATTCAAAAATGGTAGTTAAAGTAAAAAGGAGCTATAGTTTGATGGTCACTGGTATAGTTTACCCTTATTTTTTGTGAAACAAGTCAAACAACCATCTATCCAACTGACTAATCAATTCAATCGAACACTAAAAGTCTGATTGATCTGACGTAGATTTGTTTCATAAACCTAAAGTACACTTTGGGACCCAAAAAACAACTGGAATTCAAAGTTCATAACAATGGGTTTATAATTAAAAACTACAATGATACATAAATATTAGCAATGCATAAGTTAGATAGATGCACAATACCTGCATCTCCCACCGAGATTTGAGTCTCCACAAGAGTTAAGGTTAGCCATTTCTATCCTGTTCCATCTTATCCTTAGCATCAATAACTCCCAAGAAGATACCTAAATTACATAATCTGATCTTGCCTTATCAACAGCTATCTTACATATCCGACGCGACTTTGGTGCAACTATGAGAATAGATGGCATGTTTGTCGATTGTGTCCGGTTCCTTGGCACTTGCTGCAATGCAATAACCGTTTAAAGGGTCCTTTGTGTATATATATTTTCTTTTTCCTTTTAGGAGGATTGGAGACATGACGGAGAGCAGGATGGCGTACTTCAATTGTAGAAGATTTATTTTGTACAGCCATATCTGCTGTTGCAACTGGGTTTATAGAGTTTGAATACGATGACCAGAAAGCATGGACCGTGAAGTACTCCGAAGTCCGAGCAAAAACTCCTTCATAATTGCTGTAGGACAGCAACAGCATGACAACGTGGAAAACCATTCAGTTGCCATTCCCTACAGCTACAATCCCAGAGATCATTGTTCAATACATAAATTGCACCGAAACTGTCAGACTTCGAAAGTGCTACTATGTGACACTGGCATTGAAGCATGTTAGCTTTCAAAATGTGATGTTCTAATTTGAACTCCACAGCAGGAGTTAATTTTGTCAACCATTGGCTTGAATCCGACTTCTGAATACTCATCAATTCCATCATCTTACAGCAAATGGTATCAATCATCTTATTAGCAATCGGTATAACAGAAAGCTCAGTTATCCAACTATAAAATGCGTCTGCAACATTTGATGAAAAATGTCCATATCGATAACCTTGAAAGAGAACATTTGACCAGTGTTCAGGTCCACTTTGCAAGAGGCTTGTGCAAGATCCACTCACAAGCCTCTGGTGAAATATTTTTGACGTTCTGGATAGATTTTCTGAATCATCAAGTGTAGTTGCACGAGCAGCATCATAGAAATGTGTGATAATTACTTGAAGAACTTCTTCAGTACACAAGTAACTGAAATCCCTCTGTCAGATGATGGAGACAATAACCATGGTGTGAATTCTTGAAGATCATCGAAATAGGGTTTTTAAGCCCAATCTGTCTGTCTGCTACAAACGTTACTGGTTGGAATGTTGAAAGTGCAGATTTCAGTTGCACCAAAAACCAATGCCAATTATCTGTGAGTTGTAAATAAGTCTCGGTAGTTTTGGGTTTGTTATTTCAAGATAGCTTTTAGTTAGTTAGGATTAAATATTATCTTTAGTTTGAAATTTAAATGCACTGTACAGGTTGTTAGGAATCTAAGTAGAAGTATAACTCTAAGTGCTAGACTATAAAAGGACTTACTGTGTAAATGTTTAATATATGAAATACTGAGAAAACGAACCTGGTTTTCATCAGTTTCTACATTATCATCATTGACAACATCAGCTACAGCAAAAGCGACAGGGAAAATGCCCTCATTTCCATCCAAAGCTGTAACAGTCAGCAGCTTGGACTGATATTTTGATTTTATGGTCACAGTGTCAAGGAAAAGGAGGGGGCGGCAGCCATTCTTGAAGCCATGTAATGAAGCTTGCAATGCACCAAATAGAAGATTGTTCTCGACAATCTGCCTAATTAATAGACTAGGTAACTGATTGTAACCCTCATCATATGGAACTTGAGGCTTCTCTTTGTCAGACTCTAGTCCGCGCCACACATGTGCATATCTTGCTTTGAATCCATAATCCGGAAGAATTCCATTGATAATTTCCCTTGGTTTTAGCATTAGGTTAAGCTCGTAACTTTTCCTCTACAAGAAACATGACCAATTTACTAGAGACCTTGGTTTCACTAATCTTTTTAATCAGAAACAACTTTGTGGTAGATAACATTGCAGCTTGAATGGTCCAATGGCAACCTTCAGCTCTGCATTTTGCGATTATATACCTAGACCTATTAGTCTTAAAGGTATATTCAAATCCATGACCTATGGAGAACTTATTCATATCACAGCAACACGAAAATCATGAGCATTATTAAACTGTTCCTCCAGACCAGTTAAACAATTTAACAAGTTTCTGAAGTGCATTAGCATTAAGAGCTTCAGGAGTAAAGTTTTTGGATTGTCCATATCTCTAGTAAGAGAAGCCAATGAATCAAGCTGCTCAGTGTCTCCAGAAATAGAAGCAGCATGAAAAATACTAGGAGTCACGGGCTCATCCACCATTCCAGACCTGCAATGAATCCACCATAACCATATAAGATTATAAGAGTGATAGAAGATAATGACATTATTCAACCGTAGGATTGGACCTGGTTGCCTAATGATGTTAGCTTGAAGATGAATTTAGTTATAACCAAAGTCCAAAAGGCATCTTATTTATTCTGGGTAGGAAACACTATAATTCCTCATTACCTAATATTAGTAAAGTGAATACTACCTACTGTGGGACATAGACAACTGGTCGCTTGTTTGATTCTCATTTGTTAAGACATAAATATCCACAGTTGCCGAGTTTCCATGAAAATCCAGCAAGTGTTGCAGGTTTTTGTCGTTAGAAACTTTGATAAGCGACTTATTGTTGTGTGGAATAAAGTATTTAATGGTCAAGGAATCAGGATTGTAATTCCACATCTATGCCACATCTGCTTTCAACTCATCAAATTTGCTTTCAGTGTTTATACTAATCGCATTAGCTTCTTCACCAAACCCCCCCCCTGAACAAGAAATCACAACAAACTTATATTTCATCACTTATTGTCACCAATAACCTTGTGACCTATGTTACTCCAATTCTTCATTTGCTTGAAGCCTCATGTCAGACACATATTCAGACATGGAATGGGGCATGGTCCTTCAAATATATGGAAAAACGTAAAAAAAAAAAAAAAGAGTTGAGCATGCCTGTGTTGGGGACATCTATATCCAACCCTCACCCTCCAAGCAACATATATAGCTAGTGACGCATTCATGGTGACAAGAATTTTAACGATTGACACTCTCAGACAAACAAAATACAATCGTCACTGTTAAATCCTGCCAACCAGCCAGTACCAACAGAAAGGAAAAACTTTGGAATTGAGAACAAGGTCAAAGTATTATTCGTTGAGAAACAAATTCATCCAGCCAGCGCGTACCAGCGTTAGAAAAGCAGTTTCATATCTCACTGCTGAAAGAACAGATTACCAAGATTTACAAGTTGAAATGAGACAAATTACTATCAAAGAATTTACATACTACTAACCCTTTTTATGATAAAATTTTACTATTATGTTCATTATTTTCAAACGTCCATACAAAACAGCATTAAGAGAAAAATCATTCAGAATCCAGAGTTATTTTCAAATAAGTGAGAAATTAACTCTGTTCAACATGCACCAATTTCAGATTTTGCAATTGAAATCATGTCAATGTCTAAAGAATATAATGACATAACCTTAAAGAGTGGAAATTTAATTATTCAAGTGGCCATGAAAGTTGTTTAATTAAAATTTTGTTACAATCATATCACTCATTCATAATTAAGAAAGAAAAAAAAACTGACATTTGATGAGATATAGTATAATAAGAGTTTTAATATTTAATATTTATATATATTATAAATTTAATATAAATATAAATTATTTAATAAATTTATTTTTTATATTTAAAAGTTATATTAATTTAACCTTTATTATTCTCTCAAATTATTTAATTTTCGTTGTTTAGTATTATCCCTTGATAATTGATTAAATATCAAACTATATATAAAAAGATATCTAAACTTAAAAAATATTAAAAGTGAAAAAATCAGTTTTAAAAAAATACTATTAAATCAATATAAATATTTGATATAACCTGTCTAACTTAAAAAATAAAAATATATAATTATACTCTTCAGCTTTCCAACGTTAACAAAATGCCTCCATAACTATATTTTGTCACAATAAAGAGTCGTTTGGTTCATATAAGATAAGATTATATATAGAAATAAGATTATTAGAATATTATATTATTTAACATATTACTGAGAATATTATATTATTTTGTTTGATCTATTTGGTATGAATATAAGATTACAGTGTTTGGTTAAAGAAATATAAGATAAGAAAATATATATTCTACTAAATTGTCTTTGAGATATATTTTCTTTTTAACAAGTTAAATTCTTAATATTAAAGTCAAAAAAATTTACATCAAAGTTCATAAAAAATATTATTTTTTAATAAAATTTATTCACAAAAAACTTAATATTTTTTTATTTCTTTCAAAGTACATAAACATACAAACACCAATATAATTATATGTTTATTTTTAGATACAAAGATATTGAGAGATGTACATACTTACACGGTTATGAGTATGTGTTAATTGCTACACTTTTTTATTTTATTCATGCTACACGTATGAGTTATACAACGAAATATCATATCAAATTATTTGACAAAATTAATAGAAAACATAAAAAATATAATATAGAAAACTTTTATAAAAATTAATCTTAAAAAATAAACGTAATAAAATACATAAAAATTAAAACTTGAGTCAAAAGTACACATAATAAATAATCAAAATAAAGTTAAAATTTGATGTATTTTTATTTTACTTTTTATTTTATATGGATTATATTATTTTATTAAGTATTAAAAATTTGAAACCGTTAAAAAAGATAAAATAGATTTATAATCATTTAATTATATACAAAAAGAATGATAAGTTTGAAATAACTATATTATTTCAGGACTATTATTATCTTAAGGGAAGAGAACTATCTATAATCAAGAAAAGAAAAATAATAACATTCTCCGAAAAAGATTAAAAAATTACTACTGTAGATAATACTTCATTGTCTATGAGAGGGAATGCTCTTAGATCAAACATGAGTATGTGATTACAAAAAAAGATTATTCCCCTTATAATGATATTTTCCGTGAACCAAATACGCTTAATTTATATCCTAAAATTTTAATGTATTTATTTAATTTGTAAAAAACAATACATTAAATATTTGTTTTTAATGAAATTTTAACCAGTGATACAGGTAAATAAGTTAAGCAAGCCCTCTAAACAAAAGTGATTTACTGGCAGTCATTGTTAGACTATAGTGAAAGTGCAAAACCCTGGATAAATAGATAGAATATAGTATAAGAAACCTGTTGCCTATGCATAATCCCAGAAGCCTAAGTAACTGGAGCAGCGGGTTACGATGAAGAAGGGAGTTCAACTTGTTAAGAGACTGTCTCCATCTGTGTCCACCATATTCAATTTCAATGCTTCCACTCATTATCTACCTAGCAGCTCGCCTTGGTGGTCTGCCTCTCAACATCGCGGCGTCAAAGTTAACGCCATCCATGTAAATCACAGTTACCTTTTCGCGAACTTCAATTAGATCTCCATCTCCATCTTCATGCTTCACTCTTTGAATTTCTCTTTTTTGCTTTCTCCAGTATTGTTTCGCATGTTCTATGCAATTTCGCTTTATGACTTTCATTTTGCAGCAGAAGATTTTAGTTTTTTTGTCTTTAACCGGAAGAGAAGGGAGATTTTTTTTTTTAATTTTTGTTTTGATTTTGTTTATCTAAAAGTTTTTCTTTGTGAATTGTGATTACTCCTACTCGTACTGCAGCTAAGGCCAGGGAATGTAATTGAAAAATCAGGTTAGCTTTTAACGTAATGATCCAAATTTTTTTTATTTTCATCTTATTTTGAATATACTAACTGATGCTGCTTTTATTCTACGAATGCCTCAGGACGAGTCTACCAGGTACTTGTTCGCATTCTGTGCCCTTAAAGATTTGTTTTTTATGTTTCCTTTCATAAGAGGAAGTCCAAGGGGGAGAGGGGATTTGAATGTTGGACCTAATCTCTCGTCGAGAGGCATAATAATGGTTATTTCTTGGATGTTGCTTTAAGATTTGTTTTTAGGTTACTCTGTGGCTTGACATTTGTTATATAACTTGTTTGTAGATAGTAGAATCAGAGCATAAGCAGCGAGGAAGAGGAGGTGCATTGATGCAGGTTAGCTTATTTAGTTATATGATTTTTTCAGTCCGTGGGTACTTATTATCAGAATATTAGTTGCTTTTTTCTTTCACCTATTTTCGCATTGCTTAGTTACCCTGTTTTAGTGACAACATATATAATGAAAGGAGCAAGTAGAAAAATTGCCGAAACTCAACAAAAATTAAGAGACCAAAGTATAATATATTAATAATAAAATTGTGCAAATGTATGATTGGTGTACCTTTTTTGTATAAAATTTTTGTTTGATTATTTTCTAAAGATTCATATTGTCAATCTCTCTTTTTCTTTTTTCTTTTCACAAAAAAGTACAGATGGAGCTTCGTGATGTTGACAACGGAAACAAAGTAAGTTTCCGGTTTGGCCCTGAAGAGCCTGTTGAAAGTATGCATCATAACTTATTGCATTATTTACCCAGTTGGCTTAATTTTAAGGACTTTTGGGATATGGTTCTGGTATTGCATTTAGCTTCGCATTTAGATGCGACTTAAGGTTATTATTTGTCTGTGTTAGATTAATGCCTTATTATTTGATGCAGGAGTGTTTGTTGAGGAGAAGTCTTTCACATGTTTGTACACAGAAAATAATACTGCGTTTCTGATTGAGTGAGTATAATTTGTTTTTGCCATCATTTTTAAGACTTCCAGAAAGTATATTACTTTTAAACTGAAGGAAAATTTCTGCAAAATTAATGAGTTCTATTTCTTTTGTATTGTTTTTCAGGCCTGAGACATTTGACCAACTGCAAGTGCCATTGGACTTATTTGGCAAGTCTGCTGCTTACCTAAAAGGTCGATAAAATTAAGAATGGTTTGTTCACTGGTTGTGTACTTGGTCCGCTGGAAGTAGTTTTAGTTTACCTTCTATGACTAGTTTTAGCATGCATCCTAAACACCTTTGGAGTCTGTTACCTGTGTGCTCCACTTGCTGAAAGCATTAAGCCTTAGTGTTTCATATATTTTCCTTATTTTCCTAAAGTATGGTTGTGGATTTCTTTCGTTCCCCTCTACTGTTGATAGATAGTACTTTTCTTTTATTTTATGATCCGTTGGTTGTTAGCTTCCAGGATTTAACTTGTATCGTCTCACTAAATATTATTTCATTCATAACAGAGGAAATGAAAGTTAGACTACAGTTATATGATGGAAGACCATTGACTGCAGCAGTTCCAAAACGAGTGACATGTACTATTAAGGAGACACAAACTCCAATGAAGGGGGTTTCAGCGACCCCTCGGTATGTGTTTTGATATGTTAATGCTCATTTGTCCTTAGCTATATTACTATCTGTCAATTTGTTAACCCGTTTATACCTACATCCTTTGAAAAATGATTCTTCATTATTCTTGCCTGAACTTGTTCCAGAATATTATTGACATAATATTCAAACACTTATGCTAGCTATACCTACATGATTTATCTTGTTCACATGTATTATAAAGGACCAGTGGAATTTTATTTTACTTGCATGTTATGAGCCTTTTTTTTCCTTCAACTTAATACATTTATGAGTTATGACTATTCTATTAGTTGGATTATGATGAAAACCAAATTCATAGTTTTGGAATGATTTTAAATGAATTTGCTTTTTAGCAGGGGACCTTAAAAGCTTCAAATTCATTTGCACCTAAAAGATTCTAGCGTCCAACCAAGTTTTCCTTTATTTCTTTGCAACGCTTACTCTCTATCTATTGATGTGAAGAGATAGCAGTTGTCGTAGTAGATTTATGCAAATAAATTTATTTTCAACAACAGCTCTAACAATCTCTCTCTTGCTCTCAAAGGCATTTATAGTTTGATTTTTTTTCCTCAACCCAAACGGTATTTGCATTTGAAAGTTGCAACCTTACTCGTTCATAGAATTTTCATGGTTGAGTATGATAATATTGTTACTCATCATTTTCTTTTTGTATTTTTTTTCACCTTGTTTTACTTCATTGTGAAATTAGTAAATGATTGCTTGTGATCATTCAAAATGTAACGTCACTGCATTTTGACATCATAGTAAGTTTTGTTAAAATGGCAATAATCTCTGCCAAAGAATGCCACTTGCCGTACCTCTTGTAGACTTTTGGACTTCAATATTTTGTCTTTATACTTCTCAATGATGCAGGTATAAAAAAGCTTTGCTGGACAATGGCCTTAGTGTTCAAGTAAGTCAGACATGCAGTTGTTTTCTGTGTTAGTTGTTTTCAAGTAAGATTTGAAAAAGAAGTAAGATCCCACAAAGTAACCTTAATAATCTAAAATAGCTTAGATGTTTGCAAAGATTTAAATCTAACCTATAAAATATGTATAACAAGGTCCTAAAAACTTAATGTCTTAATCCCTCAAAGTGTTCACTAGGGGTGCTTATCGAGAGAGTCGATCGCGAGTTAGACAGTGCTCGACTTGTGCTCGTTAAAAAATTTTGTTGCTCGACCCGACTTGTTGCTTGTTAAGCTCGTTAAATTTTTGCTCGACTCGTGCTCATTAAAAGAACTTGTTGCTCGACTCATTGCTCGTTAAGCTCACCGAAATTTTTACCTTATTTTCTTAATTATAGGTAAAATCTACTAATACTATACAAAGCTTAATATAAACATAAATTAATAAATTTAACAAAAAAATGTCAAAAGAGTGTATGAAACAATTTCAAAGTCTAAACTCCAAAGTAACAATCCACAAATATATTAAAATAATAAATATGGTTTGATTTTTGAGTGTAGTAAAATACTAATTAATAATTTAGTATTTTTTTTATTGTTTATTAGAAAATTAATAGATTAGTAGTTTATCATATTTTCTATTATCTATTAGTAAATTAGTATTTTTTTAATGAAACAATTTTTTTAAGTTAACTACTGAAAAAATTATATAATAAAATTAACGAGTTGCTGGCGAACTTATCGAGCCGAGTTGGACTTTGCTCAAATCAACTCGTTAAGGTCTCTAGTCGAGTCATCCCGAGTCAAGTTTTTATCGAGATTTGACTGAGTCGAGTTCGAGCTGCTCAACTCATTAAGCACCCCTAGTGTTCACTTCTCGGTTTTAACTGAACTAACCGATCGAACTGAATTAATTCGGATAAAACGGTATGTCATTGAATTAGTTCGGTTCGGGAAGCGGTTAATTTTTTTCAATATTCGGTTAATGGTTAATTCAATTCAAAATCGGTTAATTAACTGAAAATATTAAATATTTTTTTTGAAAGACGAGGCTTCGTTAACCCCCCATAATCGACATTAAATATATTATATTATATATATATTAAATACATATTTTAAGCTAAAATCCATTAGAACTAAGGCCTAATTATTTTTTAACCACATTAGACCCATTAAATTTTAATCCAAATAAAAAAAAATACCTCAATTAAGCTCAAATTAGTCTAACTAAAATAAATTATAAAAAGTCCGTTAATTCGGTTACCGACCGAATTAACCGAACAAAGTTTGGTTCGCTTAATATTTTTTAAAAAAAGTTGGGTTCAGTTAATGGAAATTTGGTTTGGTCAGTGGTTGAATTAACCGTTTGAACACCCTATCAATTGAGATATTTCCATCTTCCATCACGTGGACAATATGCATAGATGTTATTGCTTAATTGTTGTAGAGCAGGTAGTGACAAGCTTTCTTCAACCTTGTGCTTATAGGATTCTATGGTGCTCTGACATGCCATTTTATCGATTTTGTTAATGTAAAAATATAGTGACCCATTCCCAATTCCAACTTCCTCAGGTACCACCCTATCTTGATACAGGTGAAGAAATAATTATCAATACTGAAGATGATTCTTACCTTGGCAGGTAAATTTCACTACACTATTTCTCCTATAATAAATTACATCACCTACTTTCTTTGAATCTCATATTTGAGGCTCTTTGTGGACACTTGGTTGCTTTTAGAGAACATTTTGCTATTTTCATTGAAGGGTGAAACATTTTGTATGTCAGGAATGTTTTATCTGCTTGCTTCTGGCCTTTAACTTTTTTTCCCCTTTCTGTTTTTCAGGGCGAACTAATACATTTTCAGGGGAAGGTTTTGAAATTGGCGGTGTGCTTTAGTCTAGCAACCCGTATTTATTCCAGATTTTTTATTTTTATCTGAAATTTCGTTGGCCTCTATGAAGTTATGCTTCAGACCGCAGGAAGAGCATTTTTTTTATCTTAAAGAATTAAATCAATGAAAAGTATATTTTGGAGAATATTTCAAAATGTTTTTCTAGGAAAATCCTACAGAAGTTGTCAAATGTGTCGTATTGGATAACTTAGTTGAACCAAAACGTCTTTTATGCACATTATTGTCACCAACATGCTTCTAGTCTTTTGTTGAACTAGCATATTTCCCTCTCCCTGTTTCCGCTTTCGAAATATCCTTAATTTAAAAATGAAGCGGCATGGCTAGGATCACAAGCGACATCTGATTCTCTTCTAAAAAAAAGAAGAGGAGGAAAACGTCTTTGATTACAAACACTTGATAGTTAGTACTACTATTAATAGAAACACCCTTTAATATTATATATATATATATACTTATTTTATAAATTAATATATGGAAAATGAATGTCTCCTTTACTGTGATAGTAAGACATTTGAGGGCTTGTCATAATTCTCTCGTGAACTTCTCTGATGTGGAAACGTGTACAGAAACATCGGAATAGATGGAGGCTAAAATCAATCACACATCCAAAAAACCCACCAGATCACTCTCTTCTACCTTTCTGCTGCACTAGAGGCAGGCCATAGACGGGATTTGGATTCGTTTATTGCTGATAAGATGGAGCTGCTGCTGTCAACATGAGACCTGATTCAATATCTTCTGTGGGGTGATCGATTGGAGATGAAAGTTCAGGGAATGGTTCAGCCTGCTCTGGCGTTGGAACCTCGTCCTGGGTCAACTCTGCCTGGAGCCATGGCGGTAACGGTGGCGCCGAAGGCTGCATTGTGGAGCTCAAGTAACTGCATTGATAATACTGGGAGGAATACACTGAGGCGCTGGAGTAACAGCTGTGGCAGTATGAGGGAGAGAATGAAGGGGAAGGCCGAGGCGTAAGGGACTTTCTCTTTCTCGACCAGAATTTGAGTTTCTTCACAGCTTTAAACATTTTCATGGTTTTCATTTCAGACAACCGAGTTTGCCGATGCTGAATATAAAAATATTCAATTTAAATATATGATTATAAAAATATTATATTCAACAAATATAATTAAATTACTAATAAAATTTTAACTTAATTAATATAATTATTATTGTAGCATCTAAAAGATGTAGGTTTGAATATATTTAGTCACATAGTATCTCTTGATTTATAGAATAAAATGTAACCAAAGCAATCAAATATGCATGTTCCAGATTCGTTATTGATTAAGTGTTTTGTGTTTTATTATTTTTAATTTTTTATGCATCTCATGTTTCAAGACTTGAGTGATGAGTCATTTCTTTGTCATGGCTCCTGTGATGGTCCATTTGTTTTTCTAAAAATAGTGATTAGGAAGCCTTTATCTTAAGCTTCTAAAATGGGTAATTAACGATGCTTATCTTTCTCGTTTCACTAACTTCACTCTTTTCTTTTTAATAGCTCAGGCATTGGGTCCAACCAACTCTCTGAATAGCTAATGGTCATGTACACATTACAGAAAACAACGTGCTTATTGCTTATCCATTAATAATACTAATACGAATGCGAATGCGAATGCGAATGCGAATGCGAATGCGAATGCGATTGCGATTGCGAATGCGAATGCGAATGCGAATGGGAATGGGAATGGGAATGGGAATGCGAATGGGAATGCGAATGCGAATGCGAATGCGAATGCCAATGCCAATGCCAATGCCAATGCCAATGCCAATGCCAATGCCAATGCCAATGCCAATGCCAATGCCAATGCCAATGCCAATGCCAATGCCAATGCCAATGCCAATGCCAATGCCAATGCCAATGCCAATGCCAATGCCAATACAATACAATTACATAAAAAGTGCTTATCAACCTTAGCCTAATTAACTATCCCCCGGGCCCCCCTTCTTCCTGATAAACTAATCCTAATTAACTTTGATATCAAACTTTTTCTATAAATGGGCTTGGTCATACAAAACTGGCTTATAAAAATATAAATTAAGGTGGTTTATCAAATAAATAATATATATATATATATATATATATATATATATATATATATATATATATATATATATATATATATATATATATGATTGCACTATTTTTTTTGAGTAGTGCACTGAAATTTGTATCAATTAAATTTTAACTTAATATTTTTTTAGAAGTGCACTGTAATTTGTATCAATTAAATTTTAACTTATTAATTTTTTTGAGTAGTGCATTGTAATTTGTATCAAATACCACTCACCTTTATAATAGTTTTGTTAAGGTTATACCAAGTTCTTAAGTTATCTTGATGATTGGGTATTTAACTTTGGATTCTAAAGGTTCATGTTTCGAATTGCATGAAAAGTATTTTTTTTCATCAACAAAATGACGCCGTTTCAAGTTTTTTGAACATCAAAATGGTCGTGTCAAAACGACGTCGTTTTGGTGAGGGAGCCATTTCATTGTCGTCACGGAATAAAGATGTCATGTCATCGCTTCATTAATGAATTAACGGCGGAGTGACATAATTGTAGCTAAATATAAACGTCAATGTTAAAATTGACAAAATTGAAACGTCAGTGACATAAACGAACATGCGCTTAAAGGTGAGTGATATTTGAAGTAGTTAACCCTTATTGTTATTGCTTGAATTATTCACTTCCGATGTGTGAGTATGCAACATAATTTTATTCCAGTCAAGAGTATGTTAGTTGTATCAAAAACACATAGTTGATATAGTGAGTAAACACATTAGATTCTTTAAGCAATGTCAGATGTTTGAACTATGATATTTACGAATAGAGCAAAATTGGGCTGGGAGGGTCACCATCACCTCTGCAGTACCTGATCTGAATTAGTCGATCAATAGATTATGATACTAGTGATTAATTAAAAAATACCCATAATCTCATATTTTTTTAACTTATTTTCTAAATAAATTAATATCATTGAATTACGTGAGATTAAACTCAATTAAAACAGTGGATTTTGGGCTAATGAGATGTGTTTTGGTGGGTTCGGGTGGTTTGAGAGTATCTCACCTCCAATTTGAGAACGATCTGATTGTATTTTTGACAATCAATATTGAGTCGATCAGGAACATCAAACATGTTTTAAGGGTGCGTTTGGTTCACGAAATGTAAGATTACGTGTGAGAATAGGATTACCTGCGGAAATAAGATTACTGGAATGTTGTATTTTGTGTTTGGTTCGTTTAGTAGGAATGTAAGATTACAGTGTTTGGTTAAAGGAATAAAAGATTATTGGAATATATATTTTACCAAATTGTCCTTATTATATATTTGTTTTTTAACAAGTTGAATTTTACTACAATATTACTATAATTAATTTATATATTTTCTTTAAAAAATTTAAATTCATAATATATATATATATATATATATATATATATATATATATTACAAAATTGAAAAGATAAATAGGTTTAATGAAAGGGTAAAATTTTATTTTAACCCCTGAACTTCATATAAAATTCTAATTATGGATTTTTTTGTAAATAAAATAGTCAGAAGAAGGATATTTTCAAAGAAAAAAAATTTAAGGGCATTTTAATCCAAAATGTCGGTAATCCAACAATACCTAAGGGAAGGGGTAATCACATTCCTAGTAATATACCCAAAAAATACTACTGTTGGGAATAAAAGATTACTAGGAAATATGATTATTGGCCAACCAAATGGGGGAATAACATTTTATTCCCCCGATAATCCCATATTACTAGAACCAAACACCCCTAAGGGTGCGTTTGGTTCACAGAATATAAGATTACCATTGAGAATGTAAGATTACCAGGGAATAGGATTACTGAGAATGTTGTATTTTGTGTTTGGTTGGTTTAGTAGGAATGTAAGATTACCGTGTTTGGTTAAAGGAATAAAAGATTATTGGAATGTATATTTGACCAAAATGTCCTTATTATATATTTGTTTTTTAACAAGTTGGAAAATATTTATATATTTTCTTTGAAAAATTTAAATTCATAAAATTTATATATTTTTTTACAAAATTGAAAATATAAAAAGGTTTAATGGAAGGGTAAAATTTTATTTTAACCCTTGAACTTCATGTAAAATTTTAATTATAGATTTTGTTTTTGTAAATCTAAAATAGTTTAAGGATAAATTTGTAATTTAACCTTCGTAGAATTTTTATTATTCAATGACAGAATAAAAAATATTTTTGAAAAACAATTTAAAGGCATTTTAGTCCAAAACGCCGGTAATCCAACAATACCTAAGGAAAGGGAGATAATGACATTCTCGGTAATATACCAAAAAAATCCACTATTGGTAATGTAAGATTACCGGGAATGACATTCCCGACCAACCAAACGGGGGAATGTGGATTTCATTCCCATGTGAATCTCACATTCCCTCAACCATACACACCCTAAGAGTATTTGGGGGTGGCTTCGGGTCTTTGTCTTAACTTGAAAAAAACAAATTGTTTGGGGTAAATATTCGAGAGAGTCAGTTGAGTGAGTGGGCCAGAACTATAAACTGTGGGTGGTATTCTCTTCCTACTTCCTATTTGGGTTTTCCGTTAGGGCTTCCTAGGAACTCTGTAGACATCTGGAAATCTATTGAAGAAAAGTTCCTATCTAGGCTGGCAAGGTGGAAGGGGAAGCTTCTCTCCTTTGGAGGTCGCCTTACGTTGGTAAAATCTGTTCTTGTTAATTTACCAGTCTATTATTTATCTCTTTTTTAAATGCCTGCAGGTGTGGTATTGAGGTTGAATAAATTCATTGCTAATTTCCTTTGGGGTGCCTCCCTTGGGAGGTCGATTCATTGGGTCAGTTGGGAGAGTGTATGTAAACCAAAGGAGCTTGACGGTTTGGGTTTTTATGATCTCAGGGTTCGTATCGGGCTCTATTAAACAAATAGATTTGGAGATT